GAGGTAACAGGGAGCCATTGGCATTTATTAAATAGAGAGATGATGTGGTGTGATCTGCACTTTAGGAAAATGACTTTGGAAGCTGAGTGGAGGATGGATTGGAGTGGGAAGGTACTTGAGACTAAGCAGGAGACCATCTTGTGAGGACCTATATGAGGTTGGCAGCCTGTTTGTGTGGGCAAAAGAGATACTGTAAAAGTAGAAATGAAAAGATTTGATAACAAATTAGATGTTTGAGATGAGTGCTAGAGAGAGGGAGGGGTCAAAGATGACACTGGGGTTTTGAGCCCTGGGTGACTAGGATGGTGTTTCCTTTGGCCATAATAGGAAAATTCTGAAGAGGGGGAGGATTTGGGAGGAAAGATCATTTTGTTGAATATATTGAATACATTTGAATATGTCAATGAGACATCTAGTTTGAGATATCCAGTAGGAAACTGGAGATGCCAAACTTGCAGTTGGTTGAGATTAGGGTTGCATATATAGATTTGAAGAGATAATAGTTGAACCTATGGAAGCTGATGAGATCACCAAGTGAGATAATATGGGGGGAGAAGAGATGAGGGCTCCAAGCAGACCCTTGAAGGAAACCCATGGTTAGTGGGGCATTACCTGAAAGAAGATCTAGCAGAGGAGACTGAGAAGGAAGAGTCCAATAGGTAGGGGGAAAGCCAGGACAGAGCAATGTTGTGACATCCAAGAGAGGAGAGATTATCTAGGGCAAGAACATGGTTAGAGATATTGCAGAGGGAACTGCAAATGGAGGCATTTAGTGGGAGGTTGGACAACATGGTCAACTCACCATGTTGTATACTAGTGCCTTGGAATAAATTGAGTCACCTCATGTGAATGAAATTCTACAGAATATTCACAGTTATATGCTAAATCACCAGCTTGGTTTATAATGAATAGAGATAAAACAGATAATTATTCACTGTTAATGTTAATATGTGGCACCCCTTTGCTCAGCAGTGAATTATGTTTATATATTTTGCCAGACTATTTGTGGAGGATTTTCAGCTATTATTGTTGCTGGATTGTTGTGTTTCCCCTACAAGTTAACACACACCTTTTCCAGACTACACAGACTCAAAATGGGGGCATATGTTGTTGTTGCTGTTATTTCTTAAAGAACATTCTTTACTTATTCCATTCCCTATTCTGTGCAGTTCATGTTACAGAAAACTTTCCTGGTGTGGGTGTAGAAACTTGAGATTAAGCTATTTTTTTAGACTTCTAAATAGTGAATGTAAGTCAGAAGGTGGATTAACTGCCACATAGCCCCATAACTACAGGCACATAACTGTGGAAAGTATATCTGCTTGAGAGTCACAGCCAGAAATCTTTGTCTTGTGACATATAATCCCCCTTTGTCTTGTGTTAATGTCCACCTGTATGAAGGTTCCCGTAACATTTTTCACATTGATTGGCTTTCCATTCCGGCATAGATCTCAGAAGACCAGGCATTTAAATAAGAAGCTGTTCTCCTGTATAAAGTTGTTAAAGAACTTGATGTTTGTTAGACTGAAGTTTTTCAACTATTTTTAGTAAAGCAGTATATGAGATAGAATATTGAATTTGGAAATCTGAAAACCTGACTTGGAATCACACCTTGCACATGGTGGATAGAATATTGGGCTTAGTGTTAGAGAAACCTGAATTCAAATCCTGCCTCAGGCACATACTAGTTGTGTAACCTTGGGCAAGTCACTTAACCTCTGTTTTGTTTCAGTTTCTTCAAATATAAAATAAGGATAATGATAATACTTAACTTCTGGGTTGTTTTGAGGGTCAAATGAGATATTTGTAAAGTACTTAGTACAGTGCCTGGCACATGGTAGGTGGTGTATAAATCCCCATCCCCTCTTAATTACAGTGCCTTCCCTCTATTAATTATGTCCTATTTATTCTATTTATTATCTATAGCTTGCCTTGTATATTTTTTTCTTGCATGTTGTCTCCCCATTAGAGTGTAAGCTCCTTAAGGGCAGGGACTATCTTTGGCCTCCTTTTGTATCCCCAGTGCTAAGCACATTGCTTGTCACTTAGGAGACATTTAATTAATATTGATTGATTGATTACTATTATTATATTATTGTTTTACTCTGGAGAAATCACTTACTCTATATGGCTTACTTGTTCCTTATGCAAAATAAGTTAATAATAGCACCTAACTCACAGGGTTGGTGTGAGCATTAAGTAAAATTATGTTTGCTTTTCAAAACTTGAAGTGTTATACAAATTTCCATGTTGTTGTAGAGTTGATAGTAATGGCAAACTATTCCATAGATAGATAAAGGAAATCATTTTTTTCAATGGAGGTTGAAAGTACTAACAATTACGGGAACTATGCCTTAGTTTCTGCATCTGTATATTGAGAACATCAACATTGATTCTCATCAATCTTATCTGTTTTCTTAAATCCAATCTACATGGGGCAAGAGCTTGATAGAGGAAGTATGGAATGCAATGTGGAGAGCAATAAGCTGTGGTTGGCCTGGTGGAGGTTCGGGAAGGAGCCACCCAATCAGTGATGGGAGAGGGGTAAAATCTTTGCTTGAGTTGAAGACTTTGAATGAAGAAGCTCTTCATTGGCCTGGTTTTGATGAAGAGGTGGAAAGAGGATTTTTTTTCTTTTCTTTTACCATTCCTTTTTTGTCCATGGATAGATATCAGGGATTTCCTAATCTGATCTGTTGAAGCAATCTCTCTTACCTTCATTAAGTTTTTTGTGAACTTAACCAGAATTTGCATTTCTGGCTAAGTTGACAATATTATTGTTGGACTATCTCAGCTCTTTTTATAATCCTAGGCTCATCTCTTTATCATTTTGAGTTACACTTTTCTTTTCTTATAAAGTGGGGAAAGTAACACCAGGAGCAGCTACCTTTACATTGTAAACCTTACCAGCCATATAAGGGTAAGCTACTATTATTACTATACCCCAGTTGGCCAAAAAAATTTCTGTCATATTTGTTGGTGCTACTTTGAACATTGTTAATGACATTTGTTCTACATTGCACTATTGACATGTGTCCAAGTTTTTAAATACATTCCCTTATCGTTCCACATAGATTGAAATTTTCTTTTATGGTCTTTGATTGTTTTCTTCTATCTCTTTTTAAGTTTTAATTGATATCTTGTGTTTTTCATCATCCACATTTCCCAATACAACCTTCCTTTTTTCTTTCCCTTTCACAGTGTGCCATGTCTTAAAGAATGAAAAAAAGGAGAGGGGGAAAGTTTTTCGGCAAAACTAACCAACAGTTTGAAAAAGCCTAGCATTATATTCATTGTTACACACCCACAGTCTTCCATCATTAAAAAGAAGTGAGGGTAGTGCCTTCTATGTTGTTTCTTCCTTAGGACTAAGCTTAGTCATTTTAATTTCACAGCATTTCAATATGATTGTATAGTAGTTGTTGTTTCCATTGACACTGTTTTATTTTGTCTACTTCTTGTCTATCTTCTGTTTCACCATTGCATTCTCTTCAACATCCAGGACAGTGCTTTTACCCATTGATGGAAACTTAATAGTGTTAAAAATATGGAACATTAGAGTTGAAAAAAGACCATCCAGACTGGCTTCTCTTATAGATGAGGTAACCAAGGCTCAGTGAGGTGAGGGAGGTGAAATTATCTGCCCAAGGTCATAGAACTTGAGCCTGAGCATTTCCTCCTTAAAATCCCAATCCTTCTTCTTGATACACCGAATTACTCTTTATTGAATTTAGTCAACTTGTGATATCAAGAAAAACACATGAACTTTGTATTCATTACTGCAGTTCTTTCTGGATAGGAGTAATTGCTCATTGTGGATGAGTGGGTTGATGACTATTTGTAAGACTAAATGCCTTTATATGGAGAATAAAAACAATATGTATACATTTACTACATTAAAAAAAAAACTTTCTGGGCAGAATTTTAAAAAGCCTGTAAGAATTTGTGGCTTTAACGTAATGGGTCCCTAGTTGAAAGGTTATAAAATATTTTATGCATTTAGTATACAAATGTTTTCTTATGCCCAGGATGAGCATTCCTGGAATCCAAGGGGAAAAAATGCTTAGTACAAATTACTTCACCTGGATGTCACTCAAAGATTAGGTAAGGAAGTCAGCGGAGAATATGGAAAGAATGTGGGCTATCTTAGCCTTGAAAATAAGCAGGAACACATTATCATTTACAGAATTTCTTTATTGTTACTTTGCTTACCTATGAATCATACACTTTTGTGTGGTTAATAGAATGAGTAAAATACATTGGAACCCCACTGTAATACCTTATAATGAAATTAATAATGGGTTATTATCATAACTAAGTCAGTAACTTATAATCTCTTTTGAATGTGATCTAAGATAGATTGTCTTATATTAAATTATGCTCTTTTGGAAGACTCTAGTGTGGTCATCTTATTCTACAAATTCATAGGCTGACTTAGGATGAAAGCATGTTCAGATCAGGGACTGTTGCCTTTTTTTTTGTCTTTGTATCACTAATTCTTAACTCAATGTTGGCACATAAGTTTTTAATAAATGCGTTCTTGGTTACTTGCTTGCCTGATGAGGTGAGCTCATTTTTAACATACTGCTCTTGGAGTTTTAAAATCAAAGTACTACACAGGAAGGGGTGATAATTCTTATGAAATATATAAACATGCTACTTAGATGCGAGGAAATTTGAATATGTGATTAGGGAATTCTGTTCGCTACATTCAGAATATGAATCCAGAATAAATATTTTTCATAGGCTAGCCCAGAAAATCTTATTGTGAAGAAAGCCAATCTAAAATTTATTTTGTTATATCATTAAGAAAGCCTGTTAGGCATTGACGGTAGAAAGGTAGAACTGGATATCCTTTTAATAAATGCTTGAATGATTCATTTCTTGATATTTTGAATGTGGACATGCTAATCAGAAATAAATGGCTGGTTGACTTCATGACTCCTATTATTATCATTACTATTATTGGTTTCAAACTTAAGATTCATTTCTTCTTTCAGGATCACAGCTTGTGCTATGACCATGAATAAATATGTGGAAGAAAATGTATCTCAAAAATCCTATACAACCATCAAGTACTTCATGAAGATGCTGAGCAGTGTCAGTGAGACCTTGATATTTATCTTCATGGGAGTGTCAACAGTTGGAAAAAACCATGAGTGGAACTGGGCCTTTGTCTGCTTCACCCTGATCTTCTGCCTGATCTGGCGTGCCCTAGGTAATGAGTTCTTCATAGCCTAGATGATGCTACTGAATCATACACCACGAAAAATTTTTTTAAAACATTTTCATTGTAAAAAAGGAAGTTTGAAAAATATTTAGTGACTAAAAGAAGTGAGAGTAGGAAAGTGATATGTTCATGAACCCTAGCTTAAAAGAAATTGAAATGGGGCAGCTAGGTGGCGCAGTGGATAGAGCACCAGCCCTGGATTCAGGAGGACCTGCGTTCAAATCTGGCCTCAGACACATAACACTTACTAGCTGTGTGACCCTGGCAAGTCACTTAACCCCATTGCCTAGGGCCCCCCCGAAAAAAAAAGAAATTGAAATGTCCTATTAATTTACTGGGGCAGCTAGGTGGCACAGTGGATAGAGTACTGTGCCTGGAGTCAGAAAGACTCATATTCCTGAGTTCAAATTCAGCCTCAGACACTTCCTAGCTGTGTGACCCTGTTTACCTCAGTTTCCTTGATTGTAAAATGAGCTGGCAAAGGAAATGGTGAACCACTCTAGTATCTTTACCAAGAAAACCCCCAAATTGTAGTCAGGAAGAATTGGATGCCACTGAAAATGACTGAACAACAACAACAAAGTAATTTATTAATGAACTCTTAAAGCCTCTGCCAAATTCTTAAATCCAGTATCTCATCATGGAGTGGAGGAGCTGCTGGCTTCTTAAAGAATATTCCAGTAGAATTAAAGTTTGGCAAAGATTCATCAAGCTGTAGAGCAACTGAGTGTGATCTCAGGGAGAACTGATATGTCTGTTATTTTAGGGGTTTCATCCTGCAAAGAGGCTGTAATCGCTAATTGACAGATTTATTTTGACTTCAGCAATTAATGGTAGCTGCTAACTAAGGTTTAGAGGCTTATAGATCTACAGCTGGAAGGCATCTCAAAGGTCATCTAGTCCAAGTCCCCCTCATTGTACAGAGAAGGAAACTGAAGCCCAGAAAGGTTATGACTTGCCCAAAGTCACACAGACAAGGAAGCATTAGAAGTAGGATTTGAATTCAGACCCTCTGACTCGTAACACCTTATGCTCTCCACTCCACTCCTTCTCAAATCATTTCCCGTCCAGGAATCGCTTAACTTAATTGGTATAGGAAGCACCACAACAATGAAATCAAAGATCTTTGAAGTACTGAAGAATTAAACTCTATAAATTTAGGTCCTTGATCTTCACAAAGTATGGTTAATGTGATGGGGATGCACTGTCTTTGTTGATTGATCCAGAGATTAGTGCTCTAATATCATTTAACCAATTAATATTGATTAGCTTTTGCAAAGAACTATTTACTGAAATAATATTTATTACAGAGCAGCTAGGTGGCACAGTAGATAGAATGCTTCAAGTCAGGAACATTAATTTTCCTGAGCTTAAATATGGCATCAAACACTTACTAGCTGTGTGACCCCGGGCAAGTCACTTTACACTGTTTGCCTCAGTTTCCTCATCTGTAAAATGAGCTGGAGAAGGAAATGGCAAACCACCCCATCTTTGCCAAGAAAACCATAGATGAGATCACAAAGAGTTGGACACGAGTGAAACAACTGAACCACAGAGATTTACTGAAAAGATCCAGCAAGACTTGAAGTACAAAACACACATCTCCTGTCCAAAATGAATTTGGGGAGGGTATAGTTTGCCCTGAGAGAATGGGTTAAAATTGAAAGCATTTGCCACAAAGCATTCATCCCTAACACATTCATTGTCTAATGCAGCATAGAAAGTGTATAACTTGGCCTGTGACCACAGCAGGCCATATAACTCTGGGTCAGCCTACTCCTGGGCTGACTCAAGCAGATCAGTCCTCAGGGCTATGTGGAGCTTCACGCAGCTTAGCTGCTGGTGAACTTTGTTGTGGACCCTAGTTTCTGATCCTTTCGAGATCACATAATGTTGTTCTGTTTTTGATTTTCCTTTATCTTTGTTGTTCATTGTTCAGTCACAGTCTGACTCTTCTTGACCCCATAGACCATACAGTCCATGGGGTTTTCTTGGCATAATGAATGTAAAGACATATGGAAAGATCTTTAAGAAATAATGCAAAACAATAGAAACATAACACAGAAAAGGGAATTTACATTCCTGCCATATAAGAAGAAAAGTGAATGGGAATGAATGGATGGGGGGAATTGTTAATAGGGAATATAATACTAAGGAGGTAATAATCACGAGCAAAACAAGCTTCTTGATCCTAAAGAGAGAATTAAGTGATTTGCCATTTCCTTTTCTAGTCTATTAATGCAAGTAGAAGTTAATGGACTTACCCAAAGTCACACAGCTAGTAAGTGTGTACAGGCAAGAATAGTCATAACAAGCATAGGGAGAGTAGGTCATTGGTTCTGGTACCACCTTTGTCAGCAGTAAGAGGGCTATGTTCTTTTGGTTTCACTAGAATTGGAGCTCCTTGAGAGCGTGGACTGTCTTATTTTTCTATTTGCATCTATAGTGGTTAGCATAGTGCTTTGTACTTAGTAATGTAAAATGCTCTTTTTATTTTATTAATTCATTTATTCATTCATATCCTTTAAGCCACCTATATATTGAGGAATGGTTTTTGCTCTTACACATCACTATTAGTTGCCTGTAAATTGTGAACAGGAGACCCTTATCAGAGATATTAGATGCAAAGATTTTTTTTTTAGTATACCACCTCTTCTTATCCTCCTTGCATTAATTTTATTCATCAAAATCAATTTAATATAACTGAAATCCTTTATTTTGTTACTTTTAATCATTCTTATCATTTGTTTCATTAACAGTTCAGTCCCTACTTATAACTATAAAGAGTATATGATGTGTCATGCTTCTAATTTTTTATGGTATGATCTTTAATATTTGGGTAACCTATCCATTTTGAATTTATTCTATTAAATAGTATCTGATGTTGGTCTAAACTTAGTTTCTGTCAGAATGCTTTCCAGATTTCCTATTTATTATTGTCAAATAGGGTGTGCTTTCCCAAGTAATTTTTGCTTTTGAGTTTATTGAAAACTGGGTTATTGGTTTCAGTTATTTCTCATTTTTTTATGTATAATCTGTTCTAGTGAACTACTTTCATATTTTTAACTAGTATAAATTATTTTGATGATTCTTGCTTTATAATATAGTGTAAGGCCTTTTTCATCATTTTCCATAATATTCTATGTTATTTTGTTCCACCAATGAATTTTGTTATTATTTTGTTTAGCTCCATAAAGTATCCCTTTGGTAGTTTGTTTGATATAGCTTTTAGCCAGTAACTTAATGTCCATAATATTATACTTGCTTAATATTCTTATGTTTTTAGTGTTTGGGATGTTTGCAAGTTGAATATTCTGCTTATGCCTAGGGCTTGGGGTCTGTTTCTGTCTGTTCATTGATCAGAATTCTGAAGTCTTTTGAAATTGCTTTTTATTATAATATTGTTGTCTTTGTATACATTGTTTTCCTGGTTTTGTTCATTATACTATGCATTAGTTCATATGCCCAGGATTCTCTACAGCCATCTTTGATCATTTTTTACACAGTAATAATATTTTATTGCATTGATATGCCACCATTTATTCAATCATTCTACAATTGTCTAAGAGGCAATATAAGGCACCCCCTAAATCCTAGTTCTTTGCTTTTATTTTTTCCACTTTTAATTCTCTCTTTAGGATCAAGAAGCTTGTCTTGCTCGTGATTATTACCTCCTTAGTATTATATTCCCTATTAACAATTCCCCCCATCCATTCATTCCCATTCACTTTTCTTCTTATATGGCAGGAGGGTAAATTCCCTTTTCTGTGTTATGTTTCTATTGTTTTGCATTATTTCTTAAAGATCTTTCCATATATCTTTACATTCATCATACTTCAAACATAGTAGTCCAGTACATTTGTAGTATAATGTATTTAATTTATTGTTGGATTGCCATTTAAACACCTTCCTTTTTTTTAATACAAATAATGTTGTTATGAAAATGTTGGAACAAATATACCTTCATGTTCGTTTTCTAATACTCAGGAGATTATCACAAAAATGGAATTATTGGGGTGAAAGTGTGATTATTCATGTAGCTTTTAGTGTACATTGAAAAAAAATCATCTCAGAAAATATTCTGCAAGTTTGTGATTCCATCATCAGTGAATAATAAGTTTCTTTTACCACAATGCCACTAAAATTGTTTTATTTTTTAAGACATATTTTGTCAATTTTATGGGTATAAGGTTATTACATTTTGTTTGAAATTATCCACTATCCCATACTGTTTTAATTTCTCTCTTACTATTTTTTGAGATTGAGTGTATTTTCATTTTGAGATTGAGATTTAGCATATTTTAGAGTGAATATCAATAATTTGTGTTACCTTTCTTGAAAACTGATTTTCATGTACTTTGGCTATTTATCCATCATGCACTTGGAATCATCTTTATAAAATTTCAATGAGCCATATTTATATTCCCAAAATTCATCTTTAATATTAATTAGTTTTTTGTTGTAGAGAATTTTTTTTTTAAATTTAAATGCATCTTTTCTGTTTCTAATAGTTCAGTTACCTCCCCTCCCCAATTTAAAGTATTCCATTTTCTTCTCTATTTTTATATTTCGCTTAGGTTTAATTTAATTTAACAAACACTTATTGAATAACTGCCTTGTGCCAACACTGGTTCTGAGTGCTAGGGAATTGAAAGACAAAACAAAATTGTCCTTACTGCAGAGGAGTTTAAGTTTTTAGTAGAGGTGCCAGAGAAACATACAGTAGAAATTCACTGAGGTAGATGATATGAGAACTGAAGCTAAATACATTTTCTGCTAAATTGACAACTAGTTTCCCAAGATTATTTTTTAAATAATTTGTCCTTTCCCCACTTTTTTTTCCTATAAGTTTATTAAACATACTAGTGTATCTTTTAAATTCCATTGACTTGTTTCTTTGTCCTTTGCTCACCACCAGATAGGTTTGGTGTTTTTTCTAAAATGTTTTAAAGTCTGAGAGAGCAAGGCTACCTTCAACAATTATTTCGTTGTTTAGTTCACCCTTTGATATTTTTGCCTGTTTGTTTTCTCATCTGTAAAAATTAGGTTTTAAATCTATGATCTTATGACTAATACAAATTTTATTATGTTTTTATTCATTTCTATAAAGAAATTTCTAAGTATTTTGATTGGATTTCCAACAATTATATAAATCAGTATAGAAAATTTGCCATTTTCACCATATTAATTTGACTTACCATGATCTTGAGCAGCTAGGTGGCACATTGAATCGAGAGCCAGGCTGGAGTCAGGAAAATTTGAATTCAAATCTGAACCTGAACAAGTCACTTCACCTTGTTTGCTTCAGTTTCCTCATCTGTAAAATGAGCTGGAGAAGGAAATGGCAAACCACTCCAGTATCTTTGCCAAGGAAACCAAATAGAGTCAGTGAGAAAGAGTTGGACGTGACTGAAACAATTGAACAAGAGCAACATCCATGATCAGAAATGTTCTTCCAATTATTCATGTCTTCCTTTCTTTCAGTGATTATTAGTCATTCTTATTTCCTGTGTATTTCTAGGTAGGTTAATTTCTAAATATTTTATGTGTTTGTACACAACTAGATTATTGACCTTCTACATTCTGGATCTTCTCCTCTAAATAGCATAGGAATTTGTGTTTTATATTACTCCATTTGAAAGGAAACCTAAGAGGAGAGATTGCTACAATTGTATTTTGATTGATTTTGTGATTATCCTTACTAAAATGAAAATGTGTCTTCTCTATGAGGTAAAAATTTTTAACTAAGAAATCTGTTAAAGGAAATCTCGTGGCTTTATTCCCATTGTTATTTTTGTTGGTAGTTCACTGCCTGTGTTGCAGGAATGGCATTTGGAGGACTTGTGCCAGTAGATGGTTCTGACCAGGTACCATAGAACACTACCAGTTAGCTGGGTCAATATAGTTGTAGATGTAACATTATACATAACTATTAAGAGTTTTCCTTCACTGGCAGTTATTATCTCAAGAGAACTGACCCTTTGGCTTGCTCTACCATACATTGACTTACTCTCGAAAATACTAACTATATGGTGTGTAGGCAGCCCTGGCAGTTCTCTTCTCCTTAATTGGCCCTTCCTTCCTAGAAGGGTTGATGTCTAGCCTCTCTCTTCCTTTGTCTTCTCTCTAGAGGTAGAGCTATGGGGTACTGGATCCAGTTGGGGTTGTTCTGTTAGTGATATCTGGGACCACATAGCTAGAGAGTTTCTGAGAAGGATTTGAATTCAGAGTCTTCCTGACTCCAAGCCTAGCACTCTGTCCACTGTGACAATTGTTTATCATTCCTTTCAGTTGTGAACAACTCTTCAACACTCCATTTGGCATTTTTCTTGGCAAAGATGCTGGAGTGGTTTGTCATTTCCTTCTTCAGCTCATTTTGCAGATGAGGAAATTGAGGCAAACAGGGTTAAGTGACTTGCCCAGGGTCATATCTGTCTGAGGACAGATTTGAACTCAAGAAGATGAGTTTTCTTGCCTCCAGGCTCAGCACTTTATTCACTGAACCACCTAGCTGCCACTGTGACAATAGGGAATGTCTAAACCATTAAAGGGTTAAAGAAAGTAAATTTCTAGGGGAGCACTGAATAGTTTTTTTTTTAAAGGAGGCAGTAGGCCAAATAAGTTTAGGAACCTCTGTGCTAAACAAAAAAGTGGTATGGAATAATATTGTGTCAAAAGAAAAGATGAAACGGACAGTGTCAGAGGAAACTAGGGAGAACTCCATGAACTAACTGATGGTAGAGTGAAGTGAGCAAAACTAGGAAAATAATTTATAAAATGATAACACTATAGAGAAAAATTTAGAACTCAAGACAAAGATAAACCACAAGTCAAGGATTAAGATGAAATATACCACTCACCTCCTGACAGAGAGGTAATTAATTGAAAAACAAAACAAAACAGAAAGAGAAATACATTTTTTGCCAGCCTATGCATCTATGTATCAAGGCCTGTGATTTTCATGTTTCTTTGTTGTTGTTATTGTTTCAAACTTGTTCACTGCTGGGTTGTTGGAGGAGGATCGTGGGAGGGAGAGATTAATTTGAAAAATGCTTGTAAGTTGAAAAAATGAAACTAAAAATAATCTATTTTCATGAATTAAGAGTACTGGACTTTGAGTCAGAAGGACATGGGTACAAATCCCATCTCTAGACACTATGTGACATAGGGCAGGTGACTTAGTCTTACTAAATCCCAGTTTCCTCAACTGTCAAATGGAGATAATAATAGCACTTCCTTCACAGTGTTGTGAGAATTGGGTGAGATAATTTATGCAAAACACTGTGCAACCTTTAAAGATCCACAAAAATTCTAGCTGTTATTGTTTGAGAAGAGCATGAATAGTGATTAGAATGCTAGATTTGGAGTCAGGAGGACCTTCATCAAAGCCCAATCCTCTAATACTTACTAGCTGTGTAACATCAGGCAACTCACTTAACTACCCTCAGCCTCTGATTCCTGATTTGTAAAATGGGCGCAATCATAGGCATATCACTTACCTCACAATGTCCTTTGAGGATCATATAAAACAATATTTGTAAAGCACTTTGGAAACAATAAAGCACTATGTAAATGTCAAAATTTTATTATTTTTTTTATTATTATTACTTTTCACTTCTGCAGGTGTTACCAGTGTTTGACTTAAAGAAATCCTAGAGAGTTGCCTGAGGCATTTAGAAGTTAAATGATTTGCCCAGGTTCACATGGGTAGTAAATGTCAGAAGCCAAATTTGAGTTTGGGTCTCCCTGATTCCAACCCAGTACTCTAGCCACTGCATGACATCATCACTTTAGCAGATATATGTGCTAATTCTTCCTGGTTACATGTCAGGACTTCATTTTAATTTTATCTTCTTCCTCAGGTGTCTTTGTTTTGACTCAGATCATTAACTGGTTCCGGACAATACCTCTGACTTTTAAAGATCAGTTCATCATTGCCTACGGAGGATTACGAGGAGCCATCTGTTTTGCTTTGGTCTTCCTGCTTCCTGCCGCAGTATTTCCCAGAAAGAAACTGTTCATTACAGCTGCCATTGTGGTCATATTCTTCACAGTTTTCATTCAGGTGAGCACAGTCCTTACACCTCAAAGATTTTGTTTCTCCTACTCCATTTTGAAGAAACAAGATCTTTTGGCCCATCCAAGTAAAACCCTTTCATGGAAGGTCAAAAGGACTTGTATTCTCAGCACACTATGCCTTTAATATGACAGAAAGTGTTGAATCCTTGTGAAGTACTTAAAGGTACAAGGGAAAGTAATAGTTCTCATTTCCATTTCCATCTTTGAGTTAATCATTGGTTTAGAGGGGCCAAATTTGTGTACTTGATAAAGTAATCACTTCAGTGATGGTAGGAACAGAGTAGAACCTTGCAACCTATGACTGTTCTTGCTGTTGATACTTCTTCTTTGGTTCTATAGCTTATTAGGTTTTCATTGAATATTATGCCCTTTAGAAAGTTATTTGACCTAAGCTAGCTGCTTAGCAATCCCTCATCTAGAAAATAGGGATGACTGAATACATTTTTAACACCAGACTTCAAACACTTTAAGCTGAATTCAATTATTTAAACATTCTTCCTTCTTTTCACCCTCCTGCACATGATGGGCATAGTAGGCTATTCTAAAATTGTACCCTGGACGCTCCACTGTGACTTTGCGTAGGTAGGCCCTGTACCTTTAATGACTGCATTATTTCCTAGTTACTTGCAGTTACTCAAACAAGGTAATTTGCTTCCTGTGTCTGTGCCTTAGTACTAGCTATCCTCTGTGTCTGAAATGCTCTGCCTTCTCATTTCAGCCTCTTAGTTACCTTTGCCTCCTTCAAAACTTGGCTCAAATTCCATTTTCTCCAGGAGGCCCTTCTCAGTTCTCATAAATGTGAATGCCTTCCCTTTTAGATTACTTTCAATCTGCTGTGTATAGACCTTTTATGTATCCAGGAATTTACAAAAATGTGAGCTCCATAAGGGCAAGGACTGTTTTTTGACTTTCTTTGTGTCCTGGTACTTAGCACAGTGCCTGGCATTTAGTCAACTCTTAAGAAAGGCTTTCACTGACTGACTAATGTCATTAGCTTTCCTATATGGTTTTGATTTTCCTTTGGTACTCAGGAATGTTCTTGTCTATGTACTTTTTTGGATATAGAGGGAAAACAACTCTCCTCCAAGCTCACTGTTATTCTGAGAATACCATAATGGGAAAGACCAGTCTGAATGACTACTACCAGTAGATTATTCAATTCAGAAAACATTTATTGAATGCCAATGATATGCTAGGCACAGTGCTAGACACTAGGGATAGAAAGACAAAAATGGAGGCCATCCCTGCCCTCACAGAGCTTATATTCTACTGGAGGGAAACAATATATTCACAAGTATGTAAATATGAAATAAATGATGTTGGGGAGGAGGATTAACAATTGAGGAATCAGGAAAGATGTTTTATTGGTGATGGGACTTGAGCTGAGGCATGAAGGGAGTAAGGGATTCAAAAAGGTAGAGATGATGATAGAGAGCATTCTAGACATTGGGTTAGGACAGCCTTCACAAAGATATGGAAACAGGAGAGTGAATCTTATATACAAGGAATAGAAAATAGGCCAGTGTGGACATGTGAGGAGGAATAATGGTTAATCAACCTGGAAAGATTGACTAGAGCCAAAATACGCAGTCTTTAAAAACCAGAGAAGTTGGTATTTCATCATGATTGGTTGTTGTCCACTGTTCTTGAAGAGGACCAAAATGACATCACTGTGTTGGAGTCAAGTTAGAGTGTGGCTGACTGTGGTTGATCAGACCATATGAGCTGGGAAGGCTCTACCACAGATTGAGTGCAAATAGTCCCTGTGAACACTTGGGGTGGAGTCTCTAAATTCATGATCTCCAGTTTCTTGTGAGCTACTTCACTTCTGCTTTACTCACAGAGCACAGCACCTTCATTGATGAGCGCACGCCATGCTGGGTGGTCCTGTGCCAGTATCTCCCATGTCATGCAATCAAATCCAAAGTTCTTCAGAGAGCCCTTGAGAGTTTGCAACAGTAGAGCAGAAAAGGAGTGGGGAAAGAGTCCTTGGCCATTTTTTTAACCAATTATTCTTGTTAACCAGATGCTAAGCTGACTTGTTTCTAATTGTTCATTTAGAAAAAAAAAGACTTGGCAGCATTTTTATTTCTAGTATCTATACTCCTAGCTTTACTCTTATAGGTCTTCTGGACTAAACAACAAAAACAATTATGAAAATATACATAAAATTTTTATATATGTATGTGTGTGTATATATGTGTGTGTATATATGTGTGTATGTATATATACATATGTGTGTATACACACATGTTGTGTGTGTGTGTGTGTGTGTGTGTTGTGTAATGTTTTTTCCAGTACAGACAGTATGCTGTCATGAATAGAATGTTGGGTTTGTAGTCAGGAATGCCTGGGTTCTGACTTAACCCTTCTAGGCCTTGGTTTCCTCATCTCTCAAATGAGAGAGATGGTCTAAATAAGCTCTGAAGTCCTTGTTAGTTCTAAATTTATGACACTATTAGTGCTGCCAAGAGCCTCTGAATTGCAGCAATGTGAGAAAAAGCCTTGCTTGCCCCACACTGGTGATAGCTCTATAAGAAGACAGTTACCTACCTAAAATAAATCCAGCCATTCAGCTACACCTGCCTTGATGCAAGGGTGTAGATTAAGTTCTTTGCAGAGCAGTATTGCCTTAAGTCCATGAGAGATGACTGCTCTGACTACTGACTTCCCTGGCTTCCTTTCAGTGCCAACGAAAATCCCACTTTCTACAGGAAGCCTTCCTAATCTCTCTTAATTCCAATGCTTTTCCTTTTTTCCTATTTGTCTTGTATATAGCTTTCTTTGTATGTATTTGTTTGTATGTTGTCTCCGCCACTAGATTTTAAGTTCCTTGGGGTCAGCGATTGTCTCTTGCCTCTTTTTTGTATCCCCAGCACTTAGCACAGGGCCTGGTACATAGGAGGTGCTTAATAAATGTTTACGGGGGGGGCAGCTAGGTGGTGCAGAGGATAGAGCACCGGCCCTGAAGTCAAGAGGACCTGAGTTCAAATCTGGCCTCAGACCAAACACTTGACGCTTACTAGCTGTGTGACCCTGGGCAAGTCACTTAACCCCAACTGCCTAAAAAAAAACACAGAAAAAAAATGTTAATGATTGATTGTTCTCTTTCTTCCCCAAGACACAGCACCTTTTTCACTACAGTAATAGAGATGCTTTTTAACTATATTGCTTACTAGAGCAGTTCTTACCACCTCCTTCTGCTCTTTCACCTTCCTCTTCTGCCTCTTCCCAATACTTGGTGGTGGTGGTGGTGGTGGTGGTGGTGGAAATCTGTGCACCTTATATGTATATTCTTTGGGAGACATCTCTTCCTGTTAGTATAAATAAATAATTGAGGCACAAAGAGAGGGCAGCCTGCCAGAATGTACTTAATGGGTTACAAATATACCAGAAATTATAAATTATACATCTGTGCATAAAATTCTGTCCTCTGTGCAGTAATGCTACCTATTTGTATTTGAGTGGCTCCTTTTTCCTGATGAAACTTTCATCAACACTTTTTTTCCTCTTTCCCTTTGCTTCATTCCAGTGTTTTGAGTGGAACAAATTGCTTCATCCCAAATACTGAGTTAGCAATGTTTTCTGAAAAGAACCCCATGTGAAACATGTGTTTATCCCTGATACCAGAAGTTCTAATGAGGAATTTAATATCGGATTGTGTTGAAGATGAGAGAAGGCAGTCTTTTCTTGATAGGATATAAGCCCCATTATGTCAAAAATAGAATGATCATTATACAATATTTGATGACTAATCAACCCAGATTCCCTCTGACTTGTACATTTCCTTTCCTTTAAATAGTGCTGACTGGGAATGTAACTTAGTGTCTTAAACATTACATTTCTTACTGCATAAAATAGTCTTGACTGCATGTTTTTATTTCATTTAAAGTTGTAACTAGTATTGGTTAAAGTCCAATATTAAATAAAAATGTTACAGAAAAGAAAACGCCAAATGGGTAATCTTCAGATATGGTCTTCCAGTTGTTTAGGGGGTAGGGGGAAAGTAGTTTTCATTCGTTCATTAGTCATTATTTGTAGTGAGAAAAACATAGCTAAGGAAGATACAAAAATAAGAGTAGAAAATAAGGACTAAGAGGGCAAGAAGATAAATTTCATAGAAACGTATTATAAGATGGACCATAGAGGTCATTCAGGCCACCCTTCAAACCAATGAAGAAATCCCTTTAGTAATGTCCCTGAGATAATCATACAACCTCTTTTTGGGCATTTACAGTGACAAGGAACTCACTATTTTTCAAAGAATCCTATTCTTTTTAGAAGCAATTCTGAATGTTAGAAACTTATTCCTTATTTTGAGCCGAAATGTGTTTTAGGTACTACTTTTCCATTGGTCCTAATTTGATCCATAGAATAAGCTTTCACTCTTTTCCCATGGCAAATATTGGAAAATGTTAATTATGCCTTTTCTTTTCCTACTATCTATGCAGATATTTTCTTCTTGAAGTTTTATAGCTCAAGTTTCCTCAACCATTCTTCACATGACTCTGCATCCTATTTGTCCTCTTCCAGAAACACTTCAGAGGATCAGTCAACATCCCTAAAATGTGGTGCCTAGAACTGAATGCAACACTGAAAAAGGGGAAGTCCATTTGTACTCAACAGGGTTCAAATCTTGGCTGAGCCATGAAAAAGCTATGCAAATATGGCTAAGCTGTTTAACTTCTTTGGGCCTCAGCTTGCTCATCTGAGAAGGACTGGATGACCTCTGAGGTCCCTCCTGCCTCTAAATCTGTGATCCTAATATGGTCTAATGAGCAATGTGTGACCAGCACTGACCTTGAGCTGGGCATTCTACAGTATTTCTTTTAATGTGGTCTAAAAGTTTATTAGCTTTTAAAAGTCATACCCACATTATTGGCTTATGTTGAGTTTGTGAGTAACAGTCAATCTTGTCAATAAATCAAAAAACATTTATTAAGACTCAGTTGTGAGCCAGACACTGTGCCAAGTGCTGAGAATACAAAATGGGGCAAAGGACAACCCCTGCCCTCAAGGAGCTTACACTCTAATTATAATCTAACATGCCTGAATCTTGTTTTTCACGTGATATTTTGATACTCAGTGCAGAAACTTCATCAATTCACTTGCATTAAATAATTATGATTTCATTCTGTTATTAACACAAAAGATTTTTTAATTTTATTTTAATGACTGTTTTGCTGTTGCTGGTGTTAACAAATATGATTGTTTTTATTTTACTTTTATTTCAACCACTCAATATTTTAAGTAACCTGGTTTTAAATGTACAAATCCATTTTTGTCTTTGTTGTTGTTCATTTGTTTCAGTTGTGTCTGACTCTTTGTGATCCCTTATGGGGTTTTCTTGACAAAGATAATGGAATGTTTTGCCATTTTCTTATCCAGCTCATTTTACAGATGAGGAAATGAGGCAAACAGGGTTAAGTGACTTGCCAAGGGTCACACACCTAGTAAGTATCTGAGGCCAGATTTGAACTGAGGAAGATGAGTCTTTCTGACTTTCAGGCCTGGCGTTATATTAACAGTGCCGCTTAGCTGCGTGAGTGTGAGTGTGTGTGTGTGTGTGTGTGTGTGTGTGTGTGTATGGGTGGATGCACGTGCATGTATATACATATGCACATACATATATACACATATACATATTATATATATTCATATTCTCTCTATGATCAAGTGTATGATATATGGAACTTTTTGGAAAACTTATAAATGTTAATCACGCCCATTTCTTTTCATAGATGACCACATGTTTTCAGGTTCATCTGGTGCAGTTGGCATCAATTTGGCAGTTTTTTCTTTCTTTCCTTCCAAGTTAGAAGCTAAAACTTTTTAAAAGTGTTAACAAAAAGAAATTAAAAACATCTTCATTTTAGTATTGTGGTTTTCTCTTTTCATTTACATTATTGGGTGGGGCGGGCCATGGGAACTTAATCCAACTGCAATTGAAACCTCTCCTTCCTATTTCCTTAATTCTATGCAGTGGGGATTACCATTAGGAGTTCCATTCATGCTGCCAGTATACAATAATAGGTGGGAATTTAACTCATTCTTTGTAGGATGGTATTTTAGAACATGTGAGTAAACGCCAGAGAGTTTCTCAATCAAGTTACAAGGATTATCAACCTTACTTTTTAAAGTCTTCATCTATAGCTATCTAAAAAGAAAAGAAAAAGTTAAGGTAAAATCATATGGTTCTAAGCAACATTCCATCTTAGGTTTCCCCAGATTTTGTCCCTGAGCTCCTGAGCCTCTACATCAGTCTCAGGGAAACTTAACTGCCACAAAATATAGGAAGACCAAAAGCTGGCTTTAGAAATTAATAGCCAAAAATATTTTAGAGAATTGTAGAAGGAGAATTTCTTTTTTAAAAAAATCATTAAATAACTAATTTAAAGAATGATACAGATAATTCAAAGGATGAAAAATTTAGGGTAAACAATTATTTTTAGTAAATAGAATTTTTAAATGGGCATGTATAAACAATTTAATAATAATAGCTAAATTTTATGTAGAATTTTAAAGATTATAAAGTATTTTATGTCATTTGAATCACCTAGCAACCCTTTTAAATATTTATTAATCTCCTATAAATGTGGATACTGAGCCTCAGTGAGGTTAAGTGACTTATTCATGGTCACACAGTTATGGGGACAGATTCAAATTCATGTCTTTTCTAACTCCAACCCAGCCTTCTTCTCACTCTTTTACAGTGCTTCTTCAGAACATTAGTGAGATTTATTATCAATAATCCTGATTTCTTACATTGCATTAATATCTATAAATGCACCAATAAACTAAAATTGTGTAGAACATGGATATGGACCAATTGTTGTTATTCAGTAGCTTCTGACTAGTCATGACACCATGGACCATATGGTCTGTGGGATTTTCTTGGCAAAGATAGTGGAGTGGTTTGTCATTTCCTTCTCCCGTGCATTAAGGCAAACAGAGGTTCAGTGACTTTCCCAGGGTCACACAGCTAATAGGTGTCTTCGGCCAGATTTGTATTCAAGTCTTCCTGACTCCAGACACAGAACTCTGTCCACCGAGCCATCTATTGCCTCTAAAATCTTCTTTCTTGACAAAAGATGGAATCGAACCAGGAACCTTTAGATCTTTAGTCTAACACTCTTCCGACTGAGCTCTCTCAGCAATATGGACCAGATATTACACTATATTGGCTTAGCCCCCAAATATCATTGACAGCCTTCTCACTGCGTGAGGTGGATTTTAATGGAAACAAACAGTTGATAAAGGTTCCAATGGGCATACATGTTCTTATTTTTAACATGTAATTAGACTTGATATATGAAAGTTATGGAAAAATGTAATGTAAACATCTGACAGTTCTTCACAGAATGAAAAGTAATATTAGTTTAATGAAAACATAATTAATGAAGGTGATATGATTCCACAATCAAACACATTCATGTCTATGTATATATAAATGTATAATTTGAAATACCTGCATTAATAGAAGAAATTATTTAACATCCTGACCTCATGCAACAGTGAGGAGGTTGTCAATGATATTTGGAGGCTAAGCCAATAGAACAGAACAGAAATTCTGGGGTCAGTGAAAAACTACCTAACATATGAAGGCCAGCTTAAGTACATTCGCCCAGAATTAGCACTAGAAGACTGGTCATTAAACAGTGGAATTTTTCTTGCAAAAGCATTAAGAAACAACAGGGGGATGAAATTACAAATATTTTGAAATATTAAAGTGTCAGACTTGAATAAAGATTGAATAGAAGGTGCCTCTCATATCAGACTTGATCAGAATCGGTTAGCTCCTTTGAAAGATCTTCTGGAACAGACTGGCAAATGCCAAAAGCCAAGTAGTTGAGTTGAAAGAGAGATGTTTATTTTAGCTGATTACTTTGCATCCCCCGGGATGCATGCCTCATGAGACACTATTGGTGAAGGAGAGAGAGATAGCTCAGAAGTGTGCTGGGAAGTAGGGATAAACCAGCCTGGCTTGAAAAATTTGTCATGGATAACATACCAAGTGGAAAACCATGTATGCTTGATTATCCATTGTTGGTGTTTCCCAGTTCCCCTGTGATGTATCTTCCCCAGCCCAAAGTTAATATGTATTTGTTGTGTATACATATGAGACTGGTAATATTCAGCAACATGGGCATCAGAAGAAGGCCACTCAAAGTGAATTCATTGTATAAAGGGATAAATATTTCATAATGGAAAAAAGGTATGTTTGAGACTTGGAAAAAATAAAATTAAAATGATCAAAATAGGTTTACTTTATCCTATTTTTTAAAAATCTGTTTTAATTACATCCATATGTTGATTCTTAGAAAGGATGATGAAATGAATCAAATGTTAACTTTTTGGAGGTTAATTTTTAAACAAAATTATATGGTAGTGCAACATAAAATCTTTCCCTTTAGATTTGACTTTTATATCATGATCATAAAGAGGATCTTTGTTACAAAAGTATTTTCTTAATCCATGGATATTAAAATCATTTTATTTTGAAGCAGCTACCAAAGGGATACTTGCTGACAAAGAGGAAAAGATAGTGAAACACTCTAAAGTCCTTGGTATGTGATGTTTAGAGATGGGTGTAGATGTTAGTGTTAAGCATGCAGAAATGCTTGAGTGAGGACTAGTTTTATGGATAGTTAATTCATTATTGAATTTTTTTTTTGTGTTGTGATGATTTGCACATCTGCACACAACTTTACAGAGAAGCAGAATGACAGAATGGACAGTCAGCCTTGAAGTCAGGAAGGCATGGATTAAGTCCTGCTTCTGATGAGTCACTTAACCTCATAGTTGTTGTTGTCGTTGTTGAGTCATTTCAGTTGTGTTTGACTTTGTGACCCTATTTGGGGTTTTCTTGGCAAAGATACTGGAGTGGAACTTCAATAAACTTCAGTCACCTCCAGGGTAAAATATGAATTCTGTTAGACATTTTTTGCAAATATCTATGTTTTATTTTTATTTTCCCATATCCTCTTTGGAGAAAAAAAATACAAAAATACAGAACCCTTTTAACAAACCAGCAGAGTCAAGCAAAATAAATGCCTTACATTGACCATGCCCAGAAATATGTCTCATTCTGTATATTAGTTCATCCATCACCTCTTTATCTTTTTCATGAGACAATTAATCAATTGCTTCCTGTGCAGGGAATAACTATTCGGCCGCTGGTGGAGTTCCTTGATGTGAAGAGGTCAAATAAAAAGCAGCCAGCTGTCAGTGAAGAAATTCATTGCCGGGTATGTTTTTACTTTAGAGTGAAAATTTAAATGAGAAATGAAAAAAATATGTAATTCCATAGCCTAAGACTGGGCACCAATGTATCTGCCGTACATCTTTGTCCTTTACTGATGAAAAATGAAATAAATGGCTGTGGGATGAAAGGAGTCAGCAGTGGATTTAGCGATAGGCCGAGGGGCAGAGTAATGGGAAAAGCTACAATGTCACTACCCTAGCTCAGCCCGATAAGCTCCAAAAATGAAAATAGAGCAACCAGAAATTACATCATGTTTCTAGCATTTGTTACCATGACCAGCAAAAGCATTTCTTTATTGAGATGCTCATTAATATATTTAATATTTTCCATAGCACTTTATATACTGATATCGAACACAACAGTCTGATGACAATTTGTAAAACACTTAGTAGTAAAATCTCATGAATACTAATATTAATTATGGTCATTTAAATGTTTTTATAAAATAAATTGTCAGAAAATTATATAAGGTTAAGAACTTGACATTATGAATTAAATGACTAAAGATATCTGGAGTTTAGTGATATATATTATCGGTGTGCTTTTTTTTCTTTTAGTTTTTTGATCATGTGAAGACTGGGATTGAAGATGTATGTGGACATTGGGGTCACAATTTTTGGAGAGATAGGTGAGACTGCTTTTATGAAACTGTCTTATTTAATTAGAACTAAATAACTCAGAAAACAACTTTGAACATTTTCATTGGATGACCTTTAAAGGCACAGAACATCAGCAGGGTTAAAGGATGGAAATGTCCTAATTTTGAGAATAGATAGATGTGGATATATATAGATATAGATAGCCATATAAATACAAAAAAGTAAATAACCAATGTGTCTAACTTTATATCCACATACACACGTATAAAGATAGAGCTACAGATAAGAAATATCTAGATAGATTATATAGAATCTAGATTTATATCTGTAGCTCTGGCTAAATATCTATATATCTACATAGCTATATATCCATATCTGTATATATTTAATGTGAATGCTATCTTCAGATCTGTAGATTACCTGTACTTCTGTGTTAACATGCATTTGCACATGTTTCTGTATGTATGTATTTATGGATATAGAGTTAGACATGTTATTTGTTCATTTATTTATCTATCTATTTATTTATTTATTTATTCATTCATTCATTCATTCATTCATTCATTCATTCATTCATTCATTCATTCATTCATTCATTCATTTATTTATTTATTTATTTATTTATTTATTTATTTATTTATTTATTTTAACTTCTAATGACTTGCTGTAGATTTGTGGACTGGTAACCCCTTAATAGTTCACCAGCCTGCCAGTTAAATAATTAATCCTTGGATATTTACTTTGTACCAGCATTGTGTTAGATAGTATGGAAAATACACATGCAATGTAAGTCATACTCTTTCCTGGCTTTCATGCAGATTATTATCCAATTGGGAAGGTTGAATTGGGAAGGTTTGAATACATCAAAAATGTAGAGATAGTAAAGAGACAAAAGAGGGAGCAACTGATGTTTTAAAATAGGGAAGACATGGCTAGAATGATTCCTATTCCTAGAATAGTTCCTTCAAAACTCAGCTCAAATGCCACTCTATTTATTTGTTAGTCCCTCTCTCTCTATCTCTCTCTCTGTCTCTCTGTGTTACATTTTAAGTTCTGAACTGTCTCCTTCCCTTCCTCCCCTCCTTGTACTATAGAATGTCACTATTTCACCCACACACATGTGCATGCACACATGCAAGCACACACACAATACCTATATATAATGTATATACACATATACATTTACATATATATACATTTTAAGCCATACAATGCATACATCTATTTATCAGTTCTTTCTCTGGAGGTGGATGACATTTTCTTTCATAGAGCCTTTGTAGTTGATTTGAGTATTTATAATTCTCAGAATAACTTAGTCATTCACAGTTATTCTTTGAATAATATTGCTGTTACTGAATACAATATTCTCCTGGTTCTGTTCCTTTTACTCTTCATTATTTCATTTGGCTTCTGTTTATTTTTTTCTACTATTGAAAACAATCAGAATATTGAAAATAATAAAACAGAAGTGGTTGATAGGGAATTAGAGCCCAAGTTAAGTAAGGAAGAAGTGAGAGCAACATGCCTTCATCAGTGCTGCCAAGGCACCAAGTAAGAAGAACTCAGGGCTCTGCAGGAACCGCTGCAAGAAAACGCTAAGCTGCCATCTGTGTTTTCTGAAAAAATCTTTGAGAAACATAACAGAGCAATAGCACTGGAGAAAAGTACAGTGGAAGTTATAGAATCTTGACCTTTGAAAATAGGATAAAAACAGGATAGGAAAATAGGATAAAACCTCAGTTTCCTTTTCTGAAAAAATGAACGAATTACAAAAGGTAATCTCTAATGTCTCTTGTCAGTTGCTGCATTACATGATTCTATGAGTTATTTTCTCTTCCTCACTCTTCTTGCACATCACCTTAAGTAGAATTCATCTGTAAGAACAAAAGGTCAGTAGATAGGGGGCAAAGCCAAGATGGCAGATAAAAGACAACAGCTTAACTGTCAGCATTCCCCTCCAAACAACTGTAACTCTTCAAGCAAAATTTTGGAGTGGCAGAGACAACAAAAGGTCAGAGTGAGACATTGTTCTGGCCTAAGAAAACTTAGGAGATTGGCAAGAAATGTTTGTGACAGTGGGGTTGGGGGCCTGTCTGGAGTCCACACAGGCAGTCACAGTAACACCAGCCTCAGCAGCAGCAGCAGTTTCAGGGACTCTCAGTCAGTCAGTCAGATAACTGGTCAGAAAGAGATTACAGGGGACCCTTTGCTGACACTGAGTACAACAGGAACTGATTGGCAACTCTGTGGCTCATATGCAGTTCTGAGTTGCAGTTTCATGGTGAAGAGAAGTGCTGGAGGGCAGTCACAAGGGAGCAGGGGCCCTGGTCACAATTTCAAGGCAAAGAGAGAACTAGTGCTTGTGGCTACTGATGACCATGGGCCTTTCCTCAGTGAAGACCAGAGTGCAGACCAGGAGAGTGATGCTCATGCCTCTCCCAGGATCACACCATCTTGGAAGCACCAAAAACTTGCAGACCCCCAGAACTAGCTCTGAAAACAGCAGCATGAAAAAGCCTGAAGCTTGAGACAGTGCTGCCTCACCCCCAGGGTGAGCAGAGTCCAACTTTAACATAAAGTTCAAAGTCAAGAAATAGGTTTTTAAAATGAACAAACAGCAAGGAAAAAATTGACTATAAAAACCTACTACTGTGGCAGGGAAGGCCAACATATAAACTCAGAAGAAGACTAAAATAAAAGCTACAAACAAAGCCTCAAAGAAAAATACTGATTGAGCCCTAAACCAACAAGAATTCCTGGAAGAGCTAAAGAAAGAGATTAGACTGGTAGATGGAAAATTGGAAGAGAAATGAGTGATATAAGAAAATTATGAAAAGAGAATTTTCAGCTTGGTAAAAGAGGCACAAAAAATACTAAAGAGAATAACACCTTAAAAAGCAGAATTGGCTTAATGGCAAAAGTGGCAAAAAAAGTTCACTGAATAAAAGAACTTCTTTGTCGCGGACGCCTGTGTCCATGACTGTGTTTAATTGCTGGTGAGGTATGAGAAAGAAAAAGAGATCACGCAGACCAGGGGGTAGCAAGTTAAGAACAAGCTCCGTTTATTGATCTGAGACTTAGGGTTATTATACCCCATTCATGGGAACAGAACCCAAAGTGGAAAAAGCCAAGTATCAACTATAATTTTTCTTATGGTAACGGTAACTGGGGGGAGTCCCCCCACAGTCATCTCCTCACTTCCCAGTTATCTTTCAAGGCTTGTGGAAAGTCCTTCTGTTCTCAAGGGAAAGACAGCGCCTAGGAGAGGTCAGAGAGCCTACGTTCTGACCTAGGTGGCTCTTAGATAATGGACAGGCAGCAAGAAAAACCCGGCTTAGCCTAAATCCTCAAACCCATCAGTGCAAGCCCTCAACACTCCTTAAAAAAGAAGAATAGGCCAAATGGAAAAGAAGGTATATAAACTCACTGAAGAAAAGAATTCCTTGGGGCAGCTAGGTGGCGCAGTGGATAGAGCATCAGCCCTAAAGTCAGGAGGACCTGAGTTCAAATCCGACCTCAGACCAAACACTTGATACTTACTAGCTGTGTGACCCTGGGCAAGTCACTTAACCCCAATTGCCTTAAAAAAAAAGAAAAGAAAAGAATTCCTTTGAAAACAGAATTGGCCAAATGAAAAAAGAGGAACAAAAATCTCACTGAAGAAAATAATTACTTAAAATTAGAATTGGGCAAGTAGAATCTAATGACTCCATGAGATGTCAAGAAACAACAAAATAAAGTCAAAAGAATAAAAAGAAGAAAAAATGTGAAATATCTAATCACAAAAATAATAAATATGAAGAAAAGATCAAGCTTGAAAGCCATGATCAAAGAAAGAGCTTAGACATCATATTTCAAGAAATTATCAAGGGAAACTATATATGATATCTTAGATTTAGAGGGCAAAATAGAAATGATAATCTACCAATCACCTCACGAAAGAGATCCCCAAATGAAAACTCTGAAGAATATTATATCCAAATTCCACAGCTCCCAGTTCAAGGAGAAAATACTTCAAGCAGCCAGAAAGAAACAATTCATATATTATGGAGCCACAATCAGGATAACGCAAGATTGTTCCACATTGACTTCCACATTAAAGGAGAGGAGGCTTTGAAATATGATATTCTGGAAGGCAAAGGAACTAGGACTACAACCAAGAATCACTTACCCAGCAAAATTAAGCATAATTTTTTAGGGGAAAAACAGATATTTAATGAAAGAGAGGACTTTCAAGCATTTCTTTTTTGTAGTATTTTGTTTTTCCCAATTACATGTAAAGACAATTTTTAACATTCATTTAAAAAAAATTTGAGCTCTGAATTTTCTCCTCTCCTTCACCTCCTCCTTCCTAAAATGGTAAGCAATTTGATATAGGTTATATGTGTGCAATCATGTAAAACATATTTCCATATTAGTCATGTTGTGAAAGAAGAAACAGAACAAAAGAAAAAAAAACACAAAAAAGTGAAAATAGTATGCTCTTATCTTCATGAAGATTCCATTACTTCTTTCTCTGGATGTGGAAAGCATTTTTCATCATGAGTTCTTTGGCACTGTCTTCGATCATTGTGTTGCTGAGCATAACTAATTCATTCACAGTTGATGAACATACAATATTGCTGTTACTGTATACAATGTTCTTCTGGTTCTGTTCGCTTCACCTTGCATCAGTTTGTGTAAGTCTTTCAAGGTTTTTCTGAAATCAGCCTGCTCATTATTTCTTATAGCACAATAGTATTCCATCACAATCACGTACCACAACTTCTTCAGCCCTTCCCCAGTTGATGAGGAGTTGCCTTAATTTCCAATTCTTTGCCATCACAAAAAGACTTGCTATAAAATTTTTGTACGAAAAGGTCCTTCCCCCCTCCCTTTTTTATCTCTTTGGGACAATTTCAAGCATTCCTGGTGAAAAGACCAGAGCTGAATAGGAAATATGATATTCAAACAAGACTTAAGAGAAGCATAAAAAGGTAATTATGAAAGAGTAATCATCGGGGTCTCAATAAAACTAAACTGCTTACAT